CACTGGCAGTGCTGGTGGGAGTTGTCTCAGTGCTTCCTTGATTAGGCTACCCATAATATGCCTAGCAAAAGGCAAAGCCACCTTTAGACTATCCCTTTCCCAGAACTGCCCCGCAAGACCAATGCAACAGAGGCTTACACAAAATCCTTTTTTTTTTTTTGGTAATTTTTATTTGAACACAAGTATTGTGACAGAATGCAAAGTCAAAATTCTTCGTTAGCATCAGTATTTACATTGGTGAGAATGGCAATAAAGGTGGTGCCCATTGTTTCACTCGGTAAAAAGTTTTTTGTCTTTTGTTTCGTTTTTTATAACAAGAGAGAAGGCCCCTGAAAGAGGAATGCTGGAGGGAGGTGGGGGTGGGCAGAGGGGTGAGAGCCACCATCCCCCCTGCCTAAGTGAACCGGGGCTCTGAAGACCGTCCCAGAGTCAGAGGAGACGGGGGGGGGGGGGTTTGCAGGAGAAAACACACAGTAAGAAACAAACAAACTCGAACCCTTTGGGGTAGAAACCAAGCAGATAATGTGCTACTGTCTTTCCCCCCCCCTAATATATTGCATGATAAAACACGTTTACTGTACTACAAGAAGTATGAATGCCAGATAGATAGATAGATAGATAGATAGATAGATAGACAGATGGATAGATAGATAGATAGATAGATAGATACCGATGGTGCATACATATCTAGATGTACACATTGTAAACAGTGGGGCTGTTGGTCCCTCTTCAAAGTTTGTATCCCCTTAGAAAATAAAATATAAAACATGAGCGCAAAGACTCCGTTCTTTAAAAAAAAAAAAAAAGGAAAAGGAGAATGCCATTTCCGAATGAAGCCCACAATGAGCCCAGCCTTTTCCCTGCAGGGAAGGAAGAGGCAGGACGGCCGTTCGCTGGTCAGGACATGGAGTCCTCTCCTTAAGGGATGGCCAGCCGCCATTCTCCAGAACCCTCCCGAGTCCCGGAAGAAGACCACGCTCCTGCTCGGGAAGCGACGTGGTTTTCCAAGCCTTCAGGAGCCCCACAACTTTTCTCCACAGTGTCAGGCGAGTTCTCCACCCATGTGAGAGGATCAGCCCGGTGTGGTGTCCCTTGTGGCCACCTCTGAAATGGACGGGGCGGGTGGAAAAGGAGTAAATTTCCACCATCCCCCCCTCTCTCGGCCTTCCTCGGAGCCGCTGGGGGCTTAAGGACACGGGGAGGGGGGGAGAAGGACTGGCCAAACAGGCTTACCTTTCAGGACCCCCAGCCTCCCTCCCTGGCAAGGCCCCCCTGTATGTTCCTGCCCTTGTGAACCTGCTTAGGATCATCTTCCAGGGCTCCAAGTCTCCCTGCTTGGCCATCCAGGGCCTCCTCCGAAGGAGGGTGAGTGTCAGATGGGTGCCCCCCCCGGGCAGGAGCTGAAGGCAACCACAATAGAACTGAGCAAAAGGACAAGACTGCTTCCCGCCCCCCCCCCCGGAAAGCCTGACCGCGTCACACCCGGGTGTGCCCGGAGATGCCGGTTGCAGCCCCCCCGCCCTCCCTGGCCCCGTCTCTGCAGCCCAAGGAATGTTACGTATCACATTCAGTTTCACAGGTTGTACATTTATTGAAAGACGAACTACTCTCTGGTCAAGAACAGCTGTCGGCTCTTTTTTTTTACATCTCCTGAACCCAAGAGGTCCTCTTTCGGATTTATTTTTTTCTTGATCACCCAAACTATCCCTGCTACACTTTCCATATCCGAACTAGATTGAAGGTTTTTTCTTTCTTTCTTCGATTAAAAAAAGATCGTTACTATGACAAAGAACACATTTCACATTAAGATATTCACGCACTCACAGTGCACAAGCTTGCAGATCTAATGATTAAAAAAATGAAAACAATTTTTTTTTACAAAAGGGCTGTCTTTTTCACTTCTCTATCCCTTTTTCCACATTCCCATTTGCAGAATAATATTTTTTTGAAAAGCTAAATTACAGTTTTAGGCACAAGACCCTGGCAGAAATTTGTGAATGCCGAGTTTGCACCTACCGGTCTCTTACAATAACCCAGGAGTAGCCCTTGTGGTTCAGACAGAACTACTCTGGCAAACAGCAGTCAAGACTGTTGAACGCTTTATTCGGTCCACTTAACATTCTGACAAGAAGAAGCATTCTAACCCCAGCTATGGTGTATTTTGAACCACTGGCGATTTCCTAAGGGTGTTCTAGATCAGTAGATCCAATCTAGAACCCCCACTCCTTTTGTAAACCCCAGGTTTTTGCGTTAGGCAAGGGAACTGCTGCCGAAGAGCGCTGGAGAAAGCCGTCCCCATCCGCTTCTGGAGCGATGAAAACAAGGGAGGGGAGGCCACCTGTCTGCGCATGAGCCTTTTCACAAAGCATGCCTGTGCCAGATGCAGCTCTTGGAGGCAGCATCTTGTTATGCTAAAACAACTGCCCTGGTCCTACACGGGATTGCTTGTAATATTCAGAAATTGCGCAGTGTCAGTGCCCTTGGCCCCACTGACTGCACGGCTCCCTCCAAACACAGCAAGTTCCTTAAACGGGAGAGTCTCGCTACGGATCTAAGACTCTGTAGGCTGAAACTGGATTTTACCTACAAAGAGAGGATGGATCTATATGTAAGCCAGAACACCCAAACCGAAGGAACTGCATCCTCTACCAGCAGAGATCAGGGACTTCAACCTAAGCCAGCTGCTTCTTTCCCCAAGGGGTCAAATGGCCAAAAAAACCCTCACCCTGCCAGAGGTCGCATTTGATGCACTAATGGCTATTTAAGGAAGATCTCAGCTCTAACTGCCTGGATTTGGGAAAGTCCAAACCGGCTCTCCTAAACAGGTCTTGAATGGGAATGGGCAATGCTGGGGCTGCCAAGCTAAGCCTTTGGATCCCTTGCTGAATGGCTTCTCACCCTCCCCCGGGCAGGAATCAGGATGGACACCCACTGGATCCGCCACCAGAGCCTGGCCACCCGTGGGGGCTGGAGCTTGGGGTGGGCTGCATCTGTGCCAGCCCGGTCCAGCCCAAGACGCGCCCTCAGTCTATACATTCTTTAAGACAGATTTACAGTTCTTACATCCCAGCCTTAGGCATATTTATATACATACATTTGGACTGCACTCCAAGAAACCTCCAGGGATGCTGCTTTCCAGGGCCATAAAAGTACCCTCAAGGTTCAACTTGGCCAACAGCCTTCGTGACATTTGCATTTACAGTACGGTTATTCTTCCGAAGCCAAGCCACGATTAACTGGCTCCTGAAATTCAACACAATATATAATTCATCAAATATATTAAGTTAGGAAGGAACCGTTTATCAACAGCAGGAGATGCCACTCCCCGCTGCCCCCTACCTGGATGTGGGTGACCTACCAATGTTCCAAATCTCCCTATTTTTCAGTGGAGAGCAGGTGGGGGGGGGGTCTCAGGGACGTCCCCACGGCTCTTCTGGAGGCAACCCATCCCAGGTGCTCTATGGAAGGTTACAGGAAAAACTGTTGCGAGTGGACGGGGTTGAGAGCATCACCCAGGCCAAGTTAACCTTTGTGGATTCTAAGGGGTAGGTTAAGCACCACATGGGGATATTCTCCCTTAAACTCAAGCACTTTGTAAAATCTTCGGGGGGGGGTACATTCCTGCCTTCCCAAACTCTACTTCCTTCAAGGGGGTGCTTAGAGTTTCCTGCATGTTTCTCAAGGAAATAGCTTGGACCAAGAGACCAGTTGGCCCTTAATTCGCCCATCTCTATCAAAAGAAGGATCAAGGGAAAGGGGAGGGTTACTTGATTTTCTTACTTTAGTAAGAATTAAAAATAAAAATAATTAAAGAAAGATAAAAGGGAAAACATCTACTGTAAACATCCATATTTTAATATGTCTCCCTCTGCAAAGCAAGCATGCTGGCCCACCTATTATCTATATAGCCTGCATTTTAGTTTCTCTGTCAGTCTCTCTCTCTCTTTTTCTCTTTCTCTCTCTCACTCTCTCTTTCTCTCTCTAAAAAGGCAGCTATTTTACATACTTTTAAACACAAGTTGTTTTTTTTTTAAAAAAAAAACACATTTCGTTGACTGTAAACACTGGAAGAAAAAAAATGTTGGCAAAACAAATGAACAAGAAGGACCCCCTCCCCTCCCACAAAGACAGAAGAGAACAAACAAACAAACGGAGAATACTGTGGTTTGAAACCGGTCTTCCCAAAGCTGCCTGGCGCATCCTTCTTCAATGCAAAGATAGGAATTAGGACTAAGGAGTCGAAGGGTGCCATCAGCTGCAGCCTCTTCCGGGAAACCCAGGGAAATGAACCGAGGCGCTCATTGCCAAGGGTTCCCCCCCCAGAGACGAACAGCGGCTGGGCCCCCAGGCTTCAAGACGAGAACAGGGGTCAGTTAGGGAGGACGAACGCACCTTTGGGAACAGAAGAAATTCAAAATCAACCAGGGAAAAAAGAGGGAGGAAACGGTCACTGACTGACGAGACTTTACAGATTTCTCTCAACTTAGCTGGAATATATAAAAATAAAAGATTTGTGGTTGGCGGTACCATTCTGCTCAACCACGCCTTGCTAATTCTGTTTCTGATTCTCTCTAAATTTGCGGTAGTTAGTTTGGTTTCACTGACACCTCTGCACAGATGTTTTGCACAGACTTTCTGCTGTGCTACCGAGACCACGGACGTCTGTCCTCGAAGAAGTAGTAGTAGAAGGGGAAAAAAGGGGGGGAGGGTTCCTTTCCTCTTAAAAGCAAGTGCACATGAAAGTAAGATTCTTTCTACAAACCTACCCAAACAAAAAAACAAACAAAAAACAAGCCCTAATAAAAACACCTCCCCCCCAATAACGAAACACATTTTCCCCATTGTATGCTTTTTTTTTTTTGTCTGTTTTCATTTAAAAAAGGCAAAGACACTAGAGGAATGAGATGTGTATTTTTTCTGTTTTAAATGCTCAGGTGAAGCTGTTCTGTCATTTTTTCTTTTAAATTTCCATCTGCTCTGCTTTTGGCCCGGGTGCCCCATCATGCTTTGCTCTCAGTTTCATTTGTTTGTGTGGCTTCGGTGGGGACCGTCTTCACTTCTGCAGGGGCTGCTGCCTTGTTGGCGTCTGTGGTGGGGACTGACGGCTTTTCTTCTACAGCGTTTTTCCTGTGTGGAAAACCAGAGAAACACGGCCCGTGAGAGGGAGGTGGGTGACGCTTGTTTCCAGAAAAAGGGCAGGAGGGACCAGGGGCCGGGAGCCCTCTTGGGCGGCTGAGGAAGGGACTCAAACGTGCTGGACGACACTTCGGTCATCAATAGGCACCCTTTCTGAAAGAATGATCTGGAGGTCACTAGAAAAACTGTTTAAGAATTGGCTTGGTGAGAGATCTTTCTTTCTTTTTCTTTCTCTTTCTTTCCTTTCTTTCTCTGGTGAAGGGGCTTTTTTGTCTGTTTTAGGTACATCACACAATACAAGCACTTAATGGATTTGGGGAGGAGGGTCCCAACAGGGAAAATAAGAAACCACTTTGGCCAAATTTGGAAGTTGTTTGTGAGAAGGTCTGGAATCCAGGCCATCCAGCCATGATGCCAACGGAGGGCCGGTGGTCACTTGCTCCTCAGGAACCTCCTGAGCCCAGGACCCGTGTCTTTCCTGCTTCTCCTAACCTGGGGTCGGGGTGGGAGAAGGACAAGTTTTAGAAAGCCCCAAAGATTCCACCTGGCCTTCCTGATCTTTGTAAAACATAAATTCCCCTTTTTGGTTCCTATTTGTGGGGAGGACGACCCAGCACAAACGTGTGATGGGGATAACTACCATAATTATCTCATCACTGCACAATCTTTTTCAACAAAGCCTCCATCACCAGAACCATATTTGGGGAGGACAGCCAGTCCTTTGGGATCTGTTCAGAATCCTGTTTTTCCAAACTCCAGATTTTCTTCAAGATTCTCACAGCTCTTCCGTTTTTCAGCCTTTCTTAGCATGCCCGCTTTCCTCTGTTCTTTTCGAGCTAGCAATCCCAAAGCCCTCACAGGGCAGGAAATGCTCTGGCCAGGAGACTGCCACCCCCCCTCCCCCTTTGGGACCCCTGGTGCTTCTCTGAACCCAGGAGGCAGAGGTGGGCACGGGGATGTCTACTCACCACCGGGTAGGACTTTGTGCCCAGAACGGAACTCTTAACCATTCAAGGATTTGGCCAACCAGCCCAACCTGATCCTCCCGCCAGTCTCAGGGGACCCAACCCTCCCTAGATGGGCCGTAACCCCTCGGGTGGCGTCTTGGCTTCCCTCTCGGGTGGAGAGCCTCCGAGAGATGGGGAAAAGTCGGTTTCACCAGAGCGCCTAGAGGACTGGATGGACCCCACACGCCAGTTGTGATAGCTTGGTGAAGGAGCCACAGCACAGGTTAGCTTGCTTAGAGGAAAAGCCAGGTTAACACAGAGAAGGGGGCAAAGCAGTGGGCCATAGAACCCCCTCCCCAGCACAGCACAAGAAAGAGAAGGGGTGCATCGCAAAGGGGCACAAGTGGGAGGCCTACTCTGTCTTGGCAGGCGCTGGCGATGCCGAGGTCTCCAGGGTGGGCACGGGGGCCACGGCTGGGGCTTCGGCAACGGGGGCCGCTGTGCCCAGGGCGGCAAAAACATCCTTGGCAAGGTCAAGATCGGGCGTCTTGAAGGTCCCCTCGTCCATTTTAAAGTCCTCATTCTGAGGAGGGTTTCTGGTGCCCCCCGGGGCCGCCTCGCCTTTCTGGCTCCCCGCGGTCTTCGGTGCCTCTGTCGGACTCTTTGCTGTGCCGGACTGCGCGGCTTCCTTCTCTGGGCTTCTGGCACTGGAGGCCGCCTCCTGCTTGGGCTCGGATGAGGCTGGAAGGCTGGCTGGATTTGAGGGTGGGGAGGCAACAGCAGGGCCCTTGGGAGCCTCGGGCCCCTTGGCGGTGGAGCTGGGACTCAACACCGCCCCCTGGTGGTTGAGGACGTTGGAGGACAGATTGCCGGTGGCCGGAGGGGATGTGGGGGTGTCACTGAGGTCCACCAGGGGAGCCACTTTGGGGGCCGAGGCCGGGGGAGGCGAAGAGGCCGTGGCAGCTTTGGAAGGCGTGCTCTGGCTGGGGGGCCCAGCAGTGGCATTGGGCATGGGAGTGTCTGGCAGTGTGATGCTGGAGGTTAGCGTGGTTGTCTCACTGGTGGGGCTATTTTGGGCAGTGGCAAAGGTCTCAGTGATGGTGTCAGAGTTTGTGGTGACTGTGGTCACGGACGGCATCATGTCCTCTGTGGCTGCCACGGTGTCGGTAGGGTGCCTGTGAGGAGGGTGGGAAGCGAGAGAGAGAGAGAGAGAGAGAGAGAGAGAGAGAGAGAGGCAGTGACAGCCGTCAACGTCACAAGCGGCTGGAGGAGTCAATGCAACAGCCGGACTCGCATGCAGTTATTTTGGCACAAACAAAGGGGAGGAAGGAGAGAAATAGAGGCAAGAGGGTTGAGCCTGAGGACAGACATCCAGCCAGGACGGGGCCACCGGTGTCGGGTGCAGGCCACGGCGACCTCACGTGTGTCATGGCGCCACTGTGCTGATGCAATTGGTGCACATAAATCGTTTATCTCACTTGTACTATGACACCACAATGACCACGGCACCGCATGGGTACTTAGAGGAGGGGTCTCTACAGAGGGGGGACGGGTGAGAGAATCCTGAGCTTGTAATTAAACACAAAAATATTCCCTTTTGGAGATGCTCAATTTGGGCTGGACATCCCTCTCACCCTGCTCGGGGTTCCCAAGGGTCAATTGAGGCAATAGATAAAATGGACTCCAGGCCACAAAAACCCACACAGAAAAGGAAATGTATGACTCTTTCGAGGCCCATAAGCCACCTCCATTTCTCCCTTAGGATAGCCAGATTTCCAGATGCTGGACCTGCTTCCACAGTGGCCTCCGTGCCCTTCTCACCCTCACTCACTCCTGGCACCCAACCTGGGCACCTGGCACGAGGCCCACAGAGGCCGGGAGGATGATGAGCATCCTGGTATTCTCCTCCAGGGAAAGTGCCCCCCCCAACCTACTCTGGCTCAGTGAGCGGGGTGGTCTCGTTTGGTTCTGTGTGTTTGCCTCCATCGTGATTGGGTGTCCGTTCCTCTTCCGTCCGCACCTCAACGATGGGCTCTTTTGATTCGTCCTTCCTGCAAGAGAGGGAGGGATTCAGAATTGAAGTCTTTCAGTTTGTCCCCGAAAACGTTTCCTACTTGCAACGGATGGAAACTAATGAAGGAGAGAAGCAACCTAGAACTAAGGAGGAATTTCTGGACAGTTAGAACAATTAATCAGTGGAACGGCTTCTCTCCAAGAAGGTGTGGATGCTTTGGAGGTTTCTAAGAAGAGACTGGACAGACACTTGTCTGGAACAGTATGGGGTCTCCTGCTGGAGCAAGGGGTTGGACTAGAAGACCTCCAAGGTCCCTTCCAGCTCTGTTATTCTGCCTCTTTCCTACTCATTACACTGCTGGTGGATTACGAAAGCAGCACTCTGACCCACCTCTCCTGGCTAGCTTGCAAAACGTTAAACAGAGCATGGCGGAAACTAGAAAGAGGCAGGGCGATGCTAAAACCTGCCTTATTTAGATTTAACACAACATAGTTGTGACTCAGCAAACAAGGAGGTGCCACCTTCTGCAATGCATCAGGTGCAGGGAAGAAGAGATGGCTTCCTCCCTCTAAGCAGGAGAGCAGACTTCCAGTTACTCACGAGAAGGCAGCCTTGCCCTCTTCCATGTCCTTCCCCTTCGCGCCGGGACCCGATTTGCCACACAGGTTGACGGCGATGCACATGAAAAGGCCGCACTTGTTCAGGAAGTAGCAGGTGACGTCCACGGCCACCAGCAGGAGGACGAAGATGACGATGAGGATGCCCACAATGGCTGCTGTGCCCAGTCCTGATGTCGGGGTGCTGCTGGCTTTGGACCCCAAAAGGAAGCGGAGAAGACATGATGAGCAAGGAGGCAAGGCCACCTTCTGCTTGGCTCAGGCCCTTTCAATCTCCTCTCTGCCCACCGGGAACACCACTTCTCCTCTCGTCTGTGGACAGTCCCAACCCTCCAGGTCATATGTGGTCCCAAAGGTGCTTTCCGAAAGGCAACTGGACTTTCTTGTTTTTTTCCTTGAAAACATGGTGTTTCTCATCCAAGAAGCATCTTTAGAACTGAAGAAGTTCTGAAGAAGCTTCTTGGATGAGAAGCAAAATGTTCCTGGAGGGAAAACCCAAGAAAGTCCAGTTGCTTTTTGGAAAGCAGCTTTGGGACATTACTCCTCTCTCCCAAACAAAGCAAGTGAAGACAATGCAGCTCCTGCTTAGGCCTGGAGGGGAGGTTTTGGGGAGGAGCTCCCTGCAACTTTCTCAGGAGGGTGCCCAATGAAAAGAGCAGCAAGCACCGCACTGCGTTCCACGTCTCCCTATTTTGGGACATTTTCAGGAACGTTTGCCTAATTTCTGCAAAAACTCTTGTTGAGCTGGGACCAAAAAGCTTAGAGTAGGTGGAAGCACCATGAAAACAGATGGCTTTGAGATTATTATTCTATTTCTTTTAATGGATTACAGCTCTACTTCAATTGTACTTTTTTGTTTGTTTCTGTTGCAGCATCAAAAGGTTTTACATACACTGTTCAGGCCCCATCAACATTCTGTGTGTGCAACCTTCAATTGGTTTTACAAAACTTCCCATAGGTTGGGAAAGACATTCCCCCACCCCCCAGAAAAGCCATTTTGCTCCAGACATGTGAGGTAGTTGCTGTCTCGGGGGTTCTTTTGTGGCATCAATTTTAGCAGAGCACACAAAGACACTGGATACAACGCCAACCGATTCAGAGGACTTCTTGCCTCCTTCCCCAGAGAAGGCAGAATATTGGGCGTACTTCCCTCTGCCTGGTGAAGCCTGGCCTTTGCATCAGAAGTCCATTAAGGTCTCTGGAGCAGGGCTGTACCTACCTGATCCGCTTGATGCCAAGATCTACAATTAAGCAACTCCATCTGCTCTGGTGAGGATAGGGAGGAGACCCCAAATGCATTTTCCTTCTATCTTACAGTCTAAATTCATAAATGGCTTGCTCAGCTATGAGCAACATTCTTCTCTTGGTCTATTCCCTCTGAGGAAAGAGTTTCGTAAGCTGTCAAGTTTTTACTTCTTCTCATCTCATGAATTTCCCATGATGGACGTTCAACATGAGCCACTGTCCGTTGCAAATGCCTACGGAGGCTCTTAGTCATCCGGGTCACGGTTGTCCCAAAGGTGCTTTTTCAAAAACTTCTTGGATGAGAAGCAAAATGTCTTCAAGGGAAAACAAAGTCCAGCTGTCTTTTGAAAAAGCACCTTTGAGATGTCCACCACAAATGTTTCCGGGTGCATTTTTCACCTCAGATCTGAAAATGCTGTTAGGGCCCTTCTGGGGGCAGCTTTGTGCCTGCCAACCTGACATTGTTTGGGGGAAATGAATCTTTCCTGTCCTGTGCCCAAACTTTCAGTCCATCTCTTAGGAACTGATAAAATATCACAAGGAAAGATTCTGTATTTGCAATGAGACAATGAAATGATTTATTTTCATGGCTGCAGAAAGAAAGTTCTTTGATTTACGCCCTACTCCCCCACTCCAGAGCAAGAAAAAAGCAACAACTATTTCTGGCCCACTGGGGAAGCAGTTTTGATACAGCTATGCATATATATGTATATATTTTTTTAAAAAATCAGGTGTCTTATATAACCTCCCCCCCCTTTTAATGCAAATGTGCAAATATCATGAAAGGCTTCAGCAGAATTGCTGTGACGAAGCAGAACTGCCCTATTAATAGCCTTTATGGAGAGCGTCCAGAGTGGTCCAGGAGATGCCAGGTTGAAGCACATGGATTACTGCAGTTTGGAAGAGGCCAGGTTGGGGACCACAGGCCAGGATGATACACAGGGGGTCCTCGACTTCCGAGCACAATTATGTGTTGCTAAGCGAGACATTTGTTGTGAGTTTGCTCCGTTTTACAACCTTTCTTGCCACAGTTGTTAAGTGGAACCCTGCGGTTGTTCATTGTTAAATGAATCTGGCTTCCCCATTAACTTTGCTTGTCAGAAGGTCGCAAACGGAGATCATATGACTGTGTGTGTGTGTGTGTGTGTGTGTGTGTGGTGGCTAGACATGGTTTGAGTCCTAACAGGTCAATGGGCATGAAAGAAGAAAGGGTGAAAGAGGCTCTCGCCCAGCCTGCCTCCCCAGCCTAACACCCTTCACACTGGTTGGGTGCGGTAGTCCTCTGAAAAGCTGATGTAGGAGGAACACACACACACAAACACACATCATTCATGGGCAGAACCTAAACTGCTCAACATTTATGTTTACGGCCCATTCAAACAGATCTGGGGAAATGGTCCAAGAGAAAGATTTATCTGTCTTAAGAAACAAGAGAGCCCTCCTCTTCATGTTGACCTTCCCTTCCCCTAAAGCAGGGCTCTCCAAACTTGGCAACTTTAAGACTTGTGGACCTCAACTCCCAGAATTCCCCAGCCAGCTAGGTTGTGGAGTTGAAGTCCACACGTCTTAAAGTTGCTAAGTTTGGAGAGCCCTGCCCTGAAGGATGCAGTGCTAAATGCACACGGAAGCCAAACGATTTTCCTGGGTGCCCGCTGGTTGAACAGTGGCCTTCTGCATGCAGCAGAAGGGGCCAGAACCAGCCAGAAGTGGCAGCAAAGTGGATGCAGCTCTTGGTCTCCATTGTGGGAGGATCTCTTCACAAGCAACTTCATTGGGGACGAGGAGAATCAAGTCAGTGTCTTGTTACCCCATGAAATCCTTCTTACGTAAGGCGACTTTAGTCCAGACTCACAAGTCTGATAGCCCCATTTTGGTGTTGAGGATAGACAGGCCTCCGAGAGCTCCAAGGGTTGACAGTTCCCATCAACTTCATCCAGCACGGGGACGATGGCAGTGAAAGCTCAACAAACGTGATGGGCACCGGGTGGGGGAATGGTGTGGGAACACAATGGACTTTGCTGCTTGGCGCCACTGGCAAGGAAACGCGAGGGGGAGGGCTCCACCAGGGATACAAATTCAGGGAGTCCTTGACTTACCACCGCAACTGAGCCCAATTGGCTTAGCAAAATTGGAGTTTGACCGATTTTACGACCTTCCTTGCCACAATTGTTAAATGCATCCCTGCAGTTGTTAAGTTAGTAGCATGGATATTAAGTGAATCTGGCTTCCCCATTGAATTTGCTTGTCAGAACGTCGCAAAAGGGGATCACTTGACCCCGGGACACAGCAACCGTCATAAATATGAGTTAGTTGCCCGGTGTCCGAATTCTGATCACCTGACCATGGGGATGCCGCAACGGTCGTGCGAAAAAGTCGTGCGAAAAAGTCACCTTTTCCCTTTGTAACTTCGAACGGCCACTAAATGAACTGTTGTTAAGTCGAGGACTGCCTATACACCTAATCCGCAAAGCTTATCTTTTGCACCTCCTTTGGCATTACGGCTGCATTTTCGTCCTCTCTTCTACGGTGGGCAAAGGAGAGTGACGAGGGGAAACGGGGACAAAACCTGCTTTCAGAAAAATCAACTTTTTCCCATTACAGCTTGAAAAGTGTAAGCGATCGGTTTTATTTTTCACAGCCAGGGGCTCAAAAGGGGTTAAGAGGAGAAGCCGTTGTACTTCAGGAGAGACATGCAGAGAATCTTAAAACATGCCCGGTTTAAAATATTGCCTCCTCCTTCCTCATTACAAAATAGCAAATCTCTCTGCCAAAAAGAAAAATATTTTCTTGTGCTGCACCCGCCCCCGCCCCTTCCCACGTCCCCCTCCCCGGACAGATGCCATCCTTGGAAAACAAAGGGTCCTCTCTCGGTGTGTCTGGCCTCAGGGACACAACGGGGGTCTTCGGAAAGCAGCTGCTGTGTGTCCCTAACAGAGCAAAAGCAGAGCTGCTGGGATCAGGAGCAGAGAGACCCAAGGAGACGAAGCAGCTGGACTTCCCAAGGTGGCTGCCACAATCAAGGAGGATTCCAGGGATTAGGGAGTGAGGACCGGTGTGGAAAGGGTTGTTTTTGAAAAGGAAAATGTCGGTGGCGCGGGCGGAAAAGTGGATGTTTCCATTGGGGTCCAAAGTGGCATGTAGGACAACAGAAACACGAAAGGAACAACGGGGGTAGAAGGGAAGGGATCAGAATAAAAAAAAAAAAGAAAGAGAGAAAGAGAGAGGGAGAGAATAGATAAAAGAAAAAATAGGTCATAAATACAGAAAAAACGATAAGAATTTAAAAAAGTTTTTGCTTAACTCAGTATAAATTAAAGAAAAATGTTCAAAAAGTTAGAAGAACAGAGCAGCGGTAGCAGCAGCGGCAGCAGCGATGATGGTAATAGAGAAGCCTGATGGGGAAGCCAGCAGTAAGAGGGGGAGAGAGGATGGGGATGGGGGGAGGACTGGGGGCAGCTGATACCAAAGGGGCAGAGGATCCTCTCTGGGGAAGGAGCTGGTGGGATTCAGCAAAGGAGAGGGGTCAGGTCATGACTGAAGTGCCTCAGGCCTCCTTGGTCCTTCCCCCCCACCTTTGCACAGAGCCAAAGGGGGCAACCAGAAGCTGTGAGAATTTCCAGAATAACAGAGTTGGAAGGGACCTTGGAGGTCTTCTAGTCCAACCCCTTGCTCAGGCCGGAAACCTCTACCACTTCAGACAAATGGTTGTCCAATCTTTTCTTAAAAACTTCCAGTGTTGGAGCATTCACAACTTCCAGAGCCAGTTTGAAGTGATACAGCCCAGACTGATCTTAATCTCCTGAGACTAGACTGCAGTTCCCAACATAGCCTGTTTGACTTGGTGGGTTTGCTTTCAATTAAATTCAGTATCCAGCATTAGGTAGGACATCCAGTTGAGTCCTAGGCAGATTGTCCAAATTAAGTTTCTCTTTGCATCTCTCGACCGAACACGCCTATGTTCAGTCAAGTCGGAATCTCTGTTGTTGTTCAGTGATTAAGTTGTGTCTGAGAGGTTTTTCCTGCTTTCTAAGCTTGGAGGACCAAATATGGCTGCAAGTACGGATGGATACTACCTAGTTTATTCAAGGCCTCTATCAGTGTTCAAGAACGATGATCTTTCCTGGGTGGGTCTTGTCCATCTGCTGTCAGTCCTGGACTAGGTTCCTGGTCATCTAGACAGGAAAACACATTTACTTTTCCTGTCCAACATAAAGAGCTACATAATAGCTCTCTGCAAAATGAGACTCAGTCTCCTCACACTGAGGCTGGCTCACAACTGGTTTCCATGCCTAAAGTGGGACTAGAACTCACAGTCACCTAGTTTCTAGTCTAGATCCTTCACCACTTGATCAAACAGGCTCATGGTTTACCAAATAAACTACAGCAGGCTGGTTTGACATTTCCTTCGACAGATTAAACTGAAAGCAAATAAAACTTATTGTGGCTTGCCACAAAGTGTCCTGAGGTCACCAAGTCCCTTTCTTCTGCTTGCTTTCCACCAGCCAAGAATGCCATTCAACCTTCCGCCAATTCTAAAATAGCAACTAGAGGTTGTTGAATTATAGCTCCTGCTCTCCTCACCACCACATTTTGGACCACGTTTACTGAGATTGATTGGGACTCAGGCACTAACTCGGGAGGATCCTACTGAGCAAATGCAGAAGGTCAAGATTTCAGTAGGACCTTCCAACCAGAATGTCAAAGTTCAGAGCTAGCCTTCTTCAGAATTTGCCACAGAAATTTGACTCTGAGCATTTAGAAAATGTAATGTGAGGCATTAATGCCGAATTTCAACCCACCAGGACAGACCTCATACAAACTGGAGATTTTTCAGGGGGCTGGAAAAACAAGATGAAGGCCAGAGGACAGGCCACTTAAGAAGTTGTAGATTCATTTTTTTGCCAACTAAATCGTGTTTTAAATATACCTGAAGTCAGTCTCCCATTCCATTCCCCAATTAGATTTATTTCAAATGGAGCTGCACAATTTGTCTTTCAGAGAAACCAAGGTGAGGGGCATTAGAACTGCTGATGTGGCTGAATGAAGCGTCAGTTGTTTTAGTATGTTACTGGACATGACTATAATGAAACTGTCCCCTCAAGTGAAATATAAATCTTTGGCTGACAAATTGTATCAAAGACCCATTGCAGCCTATGTCATGCAGAAAGAAAGAGAGAAAGAGGGAAAGAAAAAAGAGAGAAAGAGAGATTGACTATCCTCCCCTTCTCAATCTGTCTCTCTGGAGGCTGTGGGAAGGAAGGAAGGAAAGAAAGGAGGAAGGAAAGGAAGAAAGGAAGGAAGGAAGGAAAAAAGAAAGCAAGAAAGAAAGAAAGAAAGAAAGAAAGAAAGAAAGAAAGCTATAGAGACCACCATCTTTTTTTAAAATGCCTTTTCTATGTGATCGCCCTCCATCACTTTCAATTATTTCAAAATTAGGGCTGGCAGGAACTCCAAAGGGCGGGGGGACAGAGAGGGGTAAAATCTGTAGTATTTTTAGTAGTTGCCCACCCAAAGCAAAACCAACGATACAAAGGAGCTAAATATAAATACACACTTAATTTGCATCCAGCTCTTTGTAGCCAAGCATTTGAAGGAACCGTCTTAGAAAAGAACGCACAGCTGACCAGGTTTTCTCATACCGTTACCGTCTTGGCCCCTGGAAGGGGACGATCAGCGACAAGTGGAGAAAAACCAGTGACCCAAACTGGTGGGTTCCCCCACTTGCCCCTGTGCCTTCCTTGGAAGAGCCTGACTCAAAAGCCATGCACAGCAAATTCAACCGTCTCGAGATTTGCTGGGGGAACTGACCACAGATGGAGCACACATACCGCAGACGGGCCCTTTTGGGATGTTCGCGGCTGAAGAGCTACGTTCTAAGATGGATTACCAGTTATGAGGATGACTGAAAGCAAGCAAGTTGCTGAGGAGTTTCTGTTGCTTTTTTCTCTGTGGTTTTAAATTGAAGCGCATTAAAGGATGTGGTGCCAGTGCATTAAGTTCAAGCGGAAAACAAGGGTAGAAAATGAGGGGCTACCTGGGATGATGGTGGGCTGGGCTGAGGTCCTGAAAGCGTAACGCGCTGGCTTAGATTTCCCTTGCTGGTTCTCTGCAATGACGGTGACTTCGTACTCCGCGTTCCAGTCGAGGGATTTCAGCATGACATGGTCGCTGCCCGAAGGGAGACGGATTTCCGGCTTCCAGTCGGGAGATTGCTTCTGCAGAAAAGTGGGAGGCGTGGGGTAAGGGAGGGAGAGAACAGGAGCATGAGCACCATGGGGCTGGGAACAGTTTCAGAAGCTTGACACGAAACACCAACCCATCCCTCACATCCTTTAGCTGTTGGCTTTTGCACCAAAGCTCTTCTCTGGTCAGGCCATCAAGGTTCAGTTAGCAGGACATCAACCAAGGAAGAAAGTTCTCTGGTGTCCTAGGCTGAACCTTGTCCTGCCCACCTGGGGAGGGGCTCTTGCTCTGCCCCTGAGCCACAGGTGTCCTTTGACATCATGGCATGTTGAAGCTGGAGACAGATCCCCATGCTAGCCACCTGGCTATTGACAGAACAGCTTCCCAACAGCAACTAAGAAGGTCCTTTGTAGGAATCTAGGTGATCAATTAAATCCCAAAAGGAAGGAGGGATGATGCTCAGCTTGCTGTGATCTTGTCCCATCCTTCTTTAGTAAAGAATTTCCTGGAGAACCTTGCCTTTTGTGGAGATGGGGCACCTGGTAAAGGAGAAGTCTAGGAGTATCTATAAGGCAAGTCAGGCTGCTGATGCCTCTGTCTTATTATTATTATTATTATTATTATTATTATTATTATTATTATTATTATTATTATTATTATTATTATTATTATTATTATTATTATTATTATT